ACTCGACAGCAAAATTTTTGGGTGAAAGTCGGAAAATTCCGGGAAATTCTGGAAAAAAGTGTGGGAAGTTGGGAAAAATCCAGGAAATTTTTCCGTTTCACACTGGTATACCCCCACCCTCCCGCTCGACGGAAAATCTGTGAGTGAAAAAACTGGAAAATGTGGGAAATTGGTAGGTAGGTGCTGGGGGGGGGGGTCGTACTGACACCACCATTTCACACATCACGATGCTGTACCCTGTTGTGGAGCACTTCAAAATTTACCTTTCATTTTTTGTGAGCACTGATTTTCTTCAAAAACGAAAACGACTTGGGGACAAAATCCGTACAAATTCAATTTATGCACTACTCTTCACAAGTCTATAAGTGACAAGTTCGCTATCAGTAAGCAAAATAAGATCGCCCTTGTGGTGAGACGTTCATACTTCGCATCGGCCGTTTCTCAGAAAGCATTACTTGTCCTTGTTGAAACATCATATATCAGAATCTGGGTACCGTCAGCGATGACAAGCATTTCCTCGTCGACTTTGCACTGATCAAGGGCACCAATCGGCAAAGTGTCGACGAATGAGCCGTCGTTGAGGAGCAACGTCGTCGATTCAGGATCTCCACATAGAGCAATGAATGGTGAAAGATAGAGAATCGATTGGACCGCTTGTGGTTCGCTGACTACGGTCTTCGGACGAAGATCTGGCAACGAAACTATCCATAAGCCACCTGTCTCACTGGCTATGCACGCGTCGGCACCTGACCTGAAATTAGGGCAGGTTGATAGGATTCAGATCTGTGGATGAGCTCTGCTGCGCTACCGCATTCGACCCGGGTTAAGTGTTGTGGTTGTCTCCGAATACATGTCTATACAGTGATGATTCCTGTAAACGATAGGCCGTATGAAGTGGCGCGGATTAGAGCGCGGCCAGGACGGCCTCCTCCACCATCGATACCATCCTGAACCAGCCACAGTTGGTGGAAAATTACTCTGGCTGTGCTCCACGCCACCGTCGTCACCTGCCCTATCGTTTGCAGGGCTCATGACTCTATATACCATTTTCATCATAAAAAGGACACTTTTCAAGTTAGGTCGGACACTTTTGAAATCAAATCCCGCACCTCGAGGGAGGGTCTCCGTACGACCCCCCTTCCCCAGCACCTACCTAATTTCTCACATTTTCTAGTTTTTTCACTCATAGGTTTCCCTCGAGGCGGGGATACGCAGTGTGAAACCGCAAAAGTTTCCAAGATTTTCCCCAGCTTCCCACACTTTTTCCAGAATTTCGCAAAAGTTACCCGACTTTCACCCAAAAATTTTGCTGTCGAGCGAGGGGGTTGGGAAGGGAGAGGGGTCTCACACATGACGAAATGCCACGTGAAATGTAAACAATTAGCAATATTTCCCCCCCCCCTCGTCAACCGATATGCGACCGCCTCTCGCAACAACGACCAAGATAACGACCCTCCCCCTATGTGTTTCACACAAAGATGCTGTACCTCTGAATCCCAAAGTTCCGCCCATCACAGGCGGTTTCCCAAAGTCCATTTTACTGAAAGTCTGTTCTTGACGTTTTTGTGTTTTTTTTGTTATGATTTTGCATACACACACTCTAACTGGAAAAGAGTGGTGCCGTCACAGATACAGGTAAAGTGAGCAGGTACTCCACCCAATTTTTGAGGAAATAATCGTGAATTTTGAAAATGCTTACACTTTACGACGTCGCTCTGCAGGATTTCTGGATTTTTTTTTCTTCAAAATTTCGCCTGGTCAATGACTTGATGTCCGCATTCAATACCCGTCATTACGCCCATCGTCGCAATCATATTTGAGCACGCGAGAAGTATACTTATAGTAAGAACAGGAGAGTATGCATAGGGAAAAGATTCCAAATTTTAGATTATCATGCAAGTGTGCTCTGACCTTTTGTTTTTTGAGGGGATTCAGAAAAAATGAGGCCTCTTTTCCTCTTTTTCTTCCTGGCGTCTTTCTTTTACTGGTGCAGCCTACCATAGGCCTTCATGATTCTCGAGAATGTATGAGGATAACAATGTCATCGTACAGCTTTCGAGTTACTGAAACACAGTGAGAGGGAAGGCTACTCTGTCCAGCCTTCAACAAAAAAACGAGTTCTCCTGAGCGGAACCGAACATCACTTACCTAGCTGCATGGCGCACAATCGATAGGCGACTTGTGCTTGATGACGACGAGTTTGCTGAATTTGTTCTTCGGCAAATCAGATTACGAATAGTCGTAAGCGATGGAAATTTCGAGAATTAACCTAGAATTATGGGCTTTATTGAAATAAAGGTTCTGTATTGAAAGCACGCCCTCCCTTCCTCCTGCCCCTCGAGAATATAAATGGATGGTGGTATTCAAATAGTGATGACAAAACCAGCAACTATTTATCGCCACCACGCTCAAGACTGAGTTCATGGACACCCTCCTCCAGCGCCAACATGCGGACTGCAAATGCGTGTGAGATCAGCGACTATTTCAGAGAGTTGAGCTGCTTGTAAAACAAACAAAATATGGGCGAAAATCCATTGTATTTTTATAGAACTTTGCTCTGAATTGCCTACATACCTTATCAACTTCCAGAGAAGTTCCCTTCAGTTGCAAAACAGCTATGTGGCCATCGGTTCCGCATGATACTAGTTGTGAATGCGATATCCAGTCGAGGGCGGAGACAGCTTGTGAGTGAACCTGAACGCGTCTTCAATATAAATTAGGTCAGTAACAAAAACCATTTGTTGAGTATGAAGAGGGCGGGGTCTCATGGGATGCGCCACATATTCGAAATTCCCATTCAGACTGATCATTTGTGCTCCAAAACAGGTTCCGTGCCAGTCCCATGAGCTGACCCCTTAGGGAAAGAAGATTGTGCAAAAATCAATCTACGGATTACTCTTTGCACATTCCGAGTAGTCACTAAAAGCTAAAAATTTAATACTTACTTTTATCGTGCTAAGAACGGTGTTGTTGACGACAAGATGAACGTCTCCTGCGACGTCACCGACGGCGAGCATTCCTTGTGACGACCATGATGAAGCCGATGGGCACACAGCGAGGGGAATTGAGGTAAACTGCAATATGAATGAACTGAGTTTTCATTGGGAAAATCTATAAGAGCTTAATAAACACAAATGTTATTGATTTCGCATAAAAGCAGTATACTGCCATTTATACCCATTTTGCCTTTATTGACTTACATCAGACGAAAAAATTCAGATTACGTCTCACTGACGATAGGGTGCAGTGAGATGTTCTATATAGGTTTAGGCGACGCGGCGAGAGCACATTTGCGAACAGATTCACGTGCGCGACATTCGCACCAGGATCTAATTGATTCAGTCTGTAAGAGCTCCACTATGTCGAGTCAGCGAGCTAACAATTCACGCGAGTCACCGCAACGTGAATGTAACGTATTACCCCCAATGGCAAAACA